CTGTCAGATTGCTTCAATAGAGGTTTGTGTCGCTTTAAGAGGGCACCCGGGCTTCCCCTGCAGCTGCTGGTCGCAAGGGCTTCAGAGGACGGTAAGCCCTCGTCCAGCGGCTGCTGGCGAGTGGCAGGGGCAGTAAGAGATCTTCCCAACTTGAGCCCAGAGACCTTCAAAGGAAGAAAAACCCCAAACGGAGGTTTGGGAGCCTGCAGGCTTCCTAGATGCTGGCTATTCGGTCGCTCAATTCTGCCCGGCAACAGCAGCGACGGTTGGAGCCTTCGCGCGCTTTTCAGAGCTGTGAGACAAAAAGAGCGGGAGGCGGCTGCGCGCACACCCGTCATTTTGGATCATTCCAGAGCGAGGCGAAGAGAGAGACCGCGCTGCTCATGTGGAGAGCGAGATTCTTCCAGCCTTGACTTTGGAGCAAGCAGGAAAAGCGGAGAGCCCAGGCAGCCCAAGCAGGAACCATAGCCAGCCCTCAGCGACTGCAGAACGCCGCAGCAAGACTGGAGATTAGTCTGGGGAGCCAGCTAAGCGTTACTTTTTATCAATTTACAAGTTAAAGAATGGCAGAAAAGAGAAATGACACATTTCTTCTGCAAAAGATACCTTGTAGCTTATTTACATTATTTTACTTTTGTAAGCTGAAAGTGGCACACATGAAAATTGAATTGACTTGTGTTAAATTGACAGAGTATCAAAATCATCTTGTAAATTTCATTATCAATATGGACGTTAGATGTACTTTTCTCCACCTCAGTTCAATACCTGAATTATTGCACTGAAGTCTATTCCATTGTTTAACTTAGAATTTTGTTATACGGAGAAGTTCCTAATATTAAAATGAAGCTTTTCTTTTCATGTAAAGGCTGATGTCCTCAAAAGTGTTCCTGGGGGTACCAAAACAGAGCAAGAATATGTCAGAGAAAATCAACTTCTCCGGTAAAGCACACAAAATGTTTCTTTTGTAAAACAGAACAAAAACATTGGTAAAAGCTGCATCGATCGACTTCTGCTCTTTATTATTTTGTTTTCTTATAGATTACCTAATGATCATTTGGAAAAGGAAAACGGAGAACTAATTTACTTGATGGAATCTTCTCAAAATCAAAGAAAACTTAAAGGAGATGACCTTGCAGCTGGTAATATATTCTTAGTTATATATTTTAACTAAATAAACCTTTCAAAGAACCATTAGCAGAATTTCATCCATAGAGAAAGGCTGCCAGCATACTCACCAATCAGAGTTCCCAATAAATTACTCCTGATAATCAAAAAACTTTGCTGCATGTGATAAGATCTGCTACTTACATTTGGAGGTGGGAGACAAAATCTTTATGTATTATGTGACTATTAAGTAAAATGTCTTTCATGAGAATAAAATGGAATAAATAACATGAACAGAATTTTTACTCTTTGGAACATAAAAGTTAAATTTGATGATTTTGCAAATCTATTCTACCAGATTGCTTTAAAACCTATCTGTGTGGGCATTTAAATCTAATGTACTCAAATCTCTTACTGCTGGGATCAAGAGACATGGGGTTGTGTGATTCTCCCATAACATGTAAAAAGCCCCTCACCTCGTACCTGTGCAAACATTAAGTAGAACCAATGTTAACTATGATTAAATATTACCTATATGATCAGTGTTGCCATGAGTTGTTAATTATGATTAACATAGTCATGGGAGTTCATGTAAGGTTATGCCAATAACTCTTTTGCATAACTATTTCTAATCGATTATCAATTACAGGTAGTACAGATTATACTGAATACAAAAATTAATACCACACATCTGTTCTCAAACATACTTCTTAGATATATGAAAATGTGTATTCATTTGCATTTATATCTGTAAACTTCTATTTGAATACTTAGAGAAGACTGTAAACTACAAACTAGTGGCAGAAGTAACAGGCCTCAAGACACAGCTTAAATCTTCAGATTTGGAACAGCAGCGACTTCATGTTAGTATGGTAATTTTTCATTTCATTGGTCATTTGCAAAAAATCCTTATGGTTTATAGGCTTAGAAAATATTGTTGCATTGAAATCAATCATTATACAGCATTTCATTGCTAACAGTCACTTTTCAAGTTAAGCAAAATAAAATTTTCAAGACAATTTTCCCTTATATTGTAACTGTAAAAAGTAGAGGCACAATGAAGTTGATGTGAGGAATGTATTAAATACAAACTGTTTAATTCTTGGTTAAATTGATCTTTTGTACTAAACCATTTTTCAAAATATCAGATTGGAACTGTATGCATGTTTTTATTCATAGGGCATGAAGAAACCAAGAATACATTTTGAATATAGGAAAAATGTTAACATGATATAATAGATTGTTATATCTGTTGAAATTAATGGATTGTGCTGAACATAGTTATGTTTCTGTGTGTGTTAGGATTAATCTATAAAGGTTTTTTTTCTTATTAGGAAGAAATCAGAAAACTTAAAAACGAATTGGACCACTTTGATCCAGCCTTTTTTGAGGAAATCGAAGATTTAAAATATAACTATAATGAAGAAGTTAAAAAGAACATTGTTTTAGAAGAGAAATTGAAAACACTTTCTGAAAAATTTGGAGTTCAAATAGACATTCCAGGTAGAATTTCTATTGACTAAATAATACTTGAAGAAACATTTCCAAGAAACTTGCCAATACTGTGTATTTAGATATAAATGAAATATTTGACATGGAAAATGAAGACAAGCATGCTGAGTGAGGTATTTTCCCCACTTATTTTAAAGTCAATAAAATGCAAGTTATTTCTGCTGTATGTAACTTTTACAGTTTCTTTCAAGTCTTAACAAAGTGCCTGCCTCATTAATCTGGTTTATTACTTCCACTAGTTTAAAGACAAAAGTAAAAAAAGATTAAAGGAATTATAATAATGTAAAATTGCTAGTTTTTAAATTGTGCTAATTTATTAAAATATTTATTTTTCTATGTTTGAATATATGAATTGTGACTAAAGCAATATACAACATTCCTAATTTAAAATGTTTAAGACAAGTTATATTGAATAAAAGTGTTACAAACTTCAAGATCATTTTTCATTAGTTAGATGATCTTGAATAAGATAAAATGCTACTTTGTTTTGACAGGATTGGAGTTGTGCTTCATTATATGTGTTCCAGAAAATTAGATGTTCTACGTCAGATTTTAGGAGCCCAAAGGGGCCATAGCAGAATAAGTCACTGCATTAGCAGATATCCGTTCATGATCCTAATGTAAATAAAGTTCTCCTACAAATATTAGTTATTTAAGATAATTAAAATCTCTTTATAAATGAAGAATCTTATCTAAACATTTTAAAAGAGATGCCAGAATGGGGAGTTGTTCCTTAACTGTTCATAATTACTGCAGGTGTTCCTTTCTAAAAAAAAATGCATGGAAGCAGAGAATCAGACTGATTCTATATATTTTAAGTAAAATGTTCTACTTACACTATTCATGACTGATTAATATTGAAATATTATGTTCTCCAATGATGCTAGCAGCATATAAAAACTACCACAATATCTTACTATAAGGTTGTATAGTTTCTAATAGTTTCCTACTTTTTTATGCCTTCACTGCATAAAATTTACTAAAGTAAAATATTACAGTGCCAGCAAAAATGGATACACTATTAGATTTTTTTTTAATGAGGTATCTGTACGTTTAAAACTAAAAGAACCTGTGAGACTAATACTTAACTTTCACTGCTTGAATAAAAAATTGTTGCGTATTTCATCTTTAGAGAGTGAAACAGTAAGTACTGTGTACATACATGTGTGTATAATTTTATAGTCAAGGATATGTAGACATAATACAATTTATATTACAGTTCAACAAAAAAATTAAATCTCTTTAGATTATTATAAATGAAGAAGCAGACATACAAGATGATTCAATGTATTTTCTGAAGAGACCCGGTCATAAGTCACTTATTATATCTCTAAGACTACTAAATCTTTGTCCATCCAACTTTGAAAAATAATGAAAGAGAGTCTTTGGTTCAAAGTTGTACTTGGCTCTACTGAAAGTGACAGTAACTGGTTTTGATGCCAAAGAAGGATCCGCAATTGGCCAGGACAAGCCAAGATGATGTCTGTGAAGCTATTTGAAAAAGGAAAGAAAAGCAGTTAAAATACTGTTTTTAACAGAGTATAATCTATTAATGACAATATTTGCAGAAAGGTATATGAAAAAACAAGCAAAAAATAAGACTATGAAAAGTATTTGAAAGAGATAACTTTACAAACCATGTTACCACAAGCATTAAAGCAGCTATGTCCTTTGAAAGATTGATATATACTGTATATTTTGAAGGCTTTTCTCAGCACTTTCTTTTGTAATCTTTGTACATGTGCACAGAAATTTTCCTTTCCTGGCAGTCTTGACAAATATCTGTATTTGGAGGTAAGAGTAACCCAAGCTCCAGGACATTAGGCTTTCTGAACATTAAGGGGGGGGATCACAATTTTTTTTTGCCATTTTTTTTTAAATTTTTTCCCTTCTACACCTTACAGTCATTATATCAACACTGTTATGTCATCATACCTGTACATGTATATAATATTTTGTTTCTATATTTATACATCTTTATACACAGTTCTATATATATTTATATATATTGTTTTACGGCTTAATTAATTTTATTCTTGTTTTGTAGCCATTTGTACCAATTGTTCCAAATTTTATAATATTCCGACTCTTCTTTATCTTTT